TTCATAAACATTAGAGCACAATGGAATACCATTCAATAAAAAGGAATGAGCTCTTCAAATAGTTATTTACTTTATCATTCCATTTATGTGACATTCTGGAAAAGACAAAACAATAGGAGCAGATTTTAAAAATCAGTGTTGCCTGGGGAGTGGTAGAGGGGATTGGCAACAAGGGGGCATGAGGGAACTTTTTAGAGTGGTGGAAATGTTCTATATTTTGGTTGTCAGATTCATAGAACTATATACCTAAAATGGATGAATTTTTGCTATATATAGATTATACCTCAAAACTGACTTTAGCTGGCAACCTTTTTAAAAAAAAATTAATGTAGAAAGAATGATAAAGTTATGATAAAGTTATTTAAAATGATTTATTCAGGCAAAAGATCTTGAATGGATGCTAAAACCATGAAGTGAAATGTTATTGTGGAATAGTATGTTGACATGACCCCCATAGATTATTGCTAATCTTTATATAATCGAAGAGATCTGGGCAGTCACCACTTTAACCAAGTGATCAGTCACACTTTGCATTGCTGACTAGGCGAGAACTGGACAGTTTATGCTTCCTGACTTGGAGTAATACGAAGTCCACAGCAACAGCACATATGAACTATTCTTGTCAAAAAAAATAAAATAAAATAAACATGGATCTAATCAAGGCTTTAAATATAACTTCCACTTTATGGAAAAACAGGAGATAAAGCAATGAGTTAAATTATACCATTAGAAAACAATCAGACATTCACAGCCTGGGATATTCTTGAAGACAGTTTACCTGGTATTTTCAAAAACATCCATGTAATAGAGGAGACCCTTCTAGATAAAAAGAGAACAAACAGTACCTGAATACTGATTTGGGAGGTAAGAGAAGCAGTTGAGGGAAGTTTAATGTAGACTGGTAACATTCAATGACCTTAAGAATTATTTTTCATTTTTCTGAGGTGCAGTAATAATATTGTAGTTAAGTAGGAGAAAGTCTGTTTCTAGGATATATATGATAAAGAGGTGAAGTGTCTTCATGTCTGCAACTTAAGTATACATGTATAAAAAGCAAATAGGTAAAAATATTAACAGTTGTCTCTAGACAGTGTGTATATGGCTATGTATTAATATTATTGTTTTAACTTTTTTCTGCATGTTTGAAAATTTTTGTATTAGAGGTGAATGTTTTTAGAACTCAATTGAGTACTATTTATGGAAGATAGCCTTGTGATATGCAGTGTATTTCTATAGATCCTATGAATATCAGGCATCTGTACCTACATTGCATCCCTGAGAATAACTTTATTTTTTTTAACCACACTGTGTTTAGCATTATATAACACCAGCATACTTTGAGAACCCAGGTAGAAAATAGTTCTGTGAAAATGCTATGTACTGTAAGGATATTTTTGGGATCATTACTTACTATATCAAATGGTATCCTTTTTGGTAAAGAAGAAACTTTGCGTTTAAATAGCAAGAATAGTTGTGCTGTTTTTGAGAAACTGGATTTTAGCATGTTACAGACATTGAATCAGGTAGGAAGGGAGCAGAGCTTCTGTTTTCCTGGCTGCTAAAAAGCTCAAATCTCACCTTGTGGCCCATCTTTAGCTAGTGTACTTCCCAGCAGCACTCCTGACCGCTTTGTAATTTACCTACCTTCTTTTCCCCCTCGATCTGATTCCCTCATTGTTTTTTGCTTGTATTTATTTTGTAAGATACTTTATGCCCAGTAATGTGCTAGACTTATTTAAAAGACTTAAAGTAGTTTATGATTTGAAAGTCACGACCTCTACAAGACAGATTTTCATATAATTGTTATTAGTCATATAAGTTCTCACTCCCAAATCCAGAGATCTTTTATCCTCTAATTAAATTTATATTAATGGACTGTTACTAGAAAATCTTAAAAGATATGTTTTTAATATAATTAAATAAGATATAAAATACCTTATTTTTGTGGGGAGGGAAAATACACAGGGGAAGGAACAAGACCATTCCATGGAAGTGGATTTACAACAGTAGTTGTAATTGGCATTTTCCTTGAGAATTTCATTTTTTAAATCTATTTTTTAATTAATGAAGGGAAGTAAAATATGTTGTTTTACTTTAGCATTTCTGAAAGAATTACCATGTACCAAAAATCCTAATGAAAAATTATATCAGTTGCTCTTGAATGGTATTCAAATCCCCCCACACACAACAGTATCATCCTTCTGTTGATATAAATGATACTTTATATTTTTATCAAATATTTTTCAGCATCAGCATGTTGATACAGATGTTATATTTATAATTTGCTCTTGCTACCTTCTTGAGAGTTGAAGTCCTCACCCACCTTCTTTTTGGGATTGCCATGTTATATTACCAAAGACACATTGTCTGACAGCAGAATGTTTAAAGCAGGGATAACAACATTTACTATAAAATATGTATGAATTAATGGTGGCTAAGACAATTTTAAGACTCTATGTATAAATTAAGTAGGAGTATCATTTGATACATCTTAAGTTTATTCTAACTTTTTAAAAAATATATTCACTTAATAAATAAGATTTTCTTCTTTAAGTCTCCTAAGTTCAGTGGAATCTTACACTGACGGTTTTTTCCCTTTAAAGATCTGTAAAGAATCTTGTTAAATTAAATGATATTTAAAGGCTTTTGTACTTATAAAACTAAGTTTTGATTTTATATTTGGACATGCTTAAATCTTAACTTTAATAACCTATGATCTCCTACCATGAGGAACATGCTAAAATTGTTGCCAATTTTACAAGGTTAGTTGTAAACATCATAGGTGTAAGGTAGGATCACCATCTCCTTTGCCCCAAGCAGAATGATTCCTAGAACTAGAACTTAACTTTCATTGCTCACGTCCTCGGAATTCACTTTTTCTAGTTCGTCAAAATATAGCAAAACAAGGGGTACAGTTTTCGTTCTTTGTGCAACTATTTTTAAGTGAAAGTGCTATTCTCATTCTTACTGTCATTCATTTCTTACCACATGAAAATCAAGTTTAATTTTGTGGTAGTGCCTGTTAGTCATGTGAGCTCTGTACAACATCTCCATTTATACTGCTTCACACATCACTCATAGGACAAGTTCCCACAAAGACCTGTTTTGTTCTACTGTTGATCCACCCTAAATAAACCAGTTTCAAAACTATGTGCAGCTTTGTAAATCAAGATAAACTGGCCAGAGATTAGATACAGAAATAAACAAGAAACCAAATAATGCTTCCTAGTTAATAAGCAGAGTGTTACATATAATAAAATTGCAGGTAATGAAATGTTCTGCATTCTAAGAATATTCTAATTAGAAAGTTTATATAATATTCATATTGTAATCTTAGGTCAAGTCATTAGCTCGTTCCCATTATTGTTAGAGTTATGAAATGTAAATAACGCTTTTAGTAAGATATTCTAGGTGACAGAGGCCAGTGAGAACAAATGATGTAATGTGAACTTTAGTCCTGAGTATGTCTTAGCAAACTAAGTACCGTGATTGATAAGGAGTTTCATATTAGGCACAGATTTCCTTCTGTCTGGCAACAGTTAGCATACCACAGTAAGAAGAGATACAGCAGCATGCAAAGTTTATTTTCCTGGGGACTCTCCATATAGGTCAGGAAAAAAGAAATACTCATACACAATTCATAAGTAACAGAATTATGTTTTTCAGCACAGAGTTAGATTCAAATGTAATATATTCACAGCTTAATTTATGGTGGTTTGAAAATATCCTTGAAATATTTCTCTTTGAATAAATGTTTTGTGACATTATTTTGCTTTCTTGTTTAGAACTTTAAAGAATATCAAGCACTGTTCAAAAGTTTTGTTTCAGATAATCTCTAAACATTGTGTTTTTTAACTCAGTATCAAATAACGTTCCAAAGAATACGCGTCTTTTGTGATGCTTTTCTTTTTCCTCTTGAGAAATTAAAAAAAAAAAAAGAGAGAGAGAAACAAACAAAGGAAGCAAAGAAAACTTAAAATGTCCTGAATTCATTATACTAACAATAAGCAAAGACCAGGCTTCCATGGGCAAGTAAATTAGATAATTCTCAGAGTACTTAGTGAAAATATATAATCTACATCCTGAGTCAAATGAATATGTCATGAAATATAAAACTATTGTGGCAAACACATGACACATTTAAAAATTCCCCCTCCTCCTTAATTCCCAACACATTTTGGGAAGGAAGTTATAATAAAAGTTTTTTTTCCTATCATAAAGCCCTTTTGCCCACCACAGGCATTTACATGAACATATTTATTTTCTGTTTTGAAGAAACCGGATTAGCAAGGTAACTTTTCTAAAACATTTTTCTTTACATGAGAATACAAATGGATTAAATTGAATAATTAAATGCCTTCTTGCTTGGAGCTGCTTCTCCCTGGCATTCCTTTCTCGTTTCATAGTCTGCTCTCTCCCACAGACTGACATTCAGGACTTTTAATTTCTAAGTTTAATTTCTCATTTTTCAGTGGTAAGATTTGAATTGTCAAAAAGTAGTCTTCAAATATGAATTAAGTTTTCTTCTTTATTATTACATTTTTATTGAGGTATAATTTACGTACAGTAAAATGCACATACCTTAACTGTACAGTTTGAGTTTTAACATGTGTACACATCAGAATTAGTGGTAAGGACTTTCTCAAAATACTCCGGTCTTGGGGAGGAGGGAGTGTTGGACACTCAAATACAATCAATTAAATAAATCCATTGTATTTCATGCAGTAAAAAAAAAAAAAAAATACGCCTGCCAGGAAATTAAACAGTTTCCTAGATGATTCTGAGTGTATCAGTAAGATTCTTACTGATACACTCAAAATCTTTGCTTTTGTAAAGAACCAAATTGAGTAATGTATATAAAAATACATAGTATATTATAAAATGTTACACAGATTAAAGTTAGGTTACCATTTTAAAAAAACTTTCTCGTGCCTTTTTCATGGGGTTTGCAATGCTGGCTCAGGTGAAATTCTCAATTCGCTTTTCTGTTTGTTTTTAAGAAAATTAATGCAAAACTTCACGATGGAGTGTGTCAGCGCTGTAAAGAAGTTCTTGAATGGCGAGTAAAATACAGCAAATACAAACCATTGTCAAAGCCTAAAAAATGGTGAGTTAAGTTTTTTAATTACCTTACCAGTATTATATATATCATAGCTTTTTATTTCATTCTCCGATTTTCAAAATTACCTAAGTAAATATTAAAGTAAATAGAGAAAAAAATTTCATTCTTTCATGTAGAATTTCATCTTACATGCTGAGTCTTGCTTTGTGAAGGCAAATAGATTGAAAAAGTGGATTCATCATTCCCTGTCTCATTCTTTCATAAATAAATAATGCACCATTTTTTATAGAATCTTGTTCATAACAGGTGGGTTAGGGCAGAGAAGAAGTTTATTTTGTAAAAGTCCACCTTCCATTTATGAGGCAACAGTATTTACTATGGATCATCTTTACCAAGGAGATCTTAAAAGGGGTGTCTGACTTTTTAATTCAACCCATGAAGATTACTGAAAAGGCTTAGATGATCATAAATAAATCACTAGGTTGGTAACTTTTAATTTTATCCCTTTGAATATTTGAGTCTAAATGAAAAGATACTGGACTTTGTTTCTCATCCCTCTGTTCCTCACCGTTTTTCTATAATTCTGGGATTCTTTTATCTGCCTTATGAATATACATCCTGGTCCTGCTCCCTTATATTCTTTAGCTCAGCTGAATAAGGACCATATTAGAGGTTGATTGCTGCCTAAAAGAGAAAAGTGATAATTCCAAATATAAAATTTAGCATTAATATATGTGATAGTGCTTTTACATTATGAGTTTAAGTTGGTAGTCTATATAGTATAGCTATTTAGAACACATATTTGTTCACTGTTGCTTTATTTTCCTTTTAGCTATTCTGTGGTGGCATCTTCCTTAAATATATTCCCTCTTCTTTTATGGGAGAAAATTTTACTTAAAGTTTGGAAGGTTGCCTAAATAATAAATATGAGAGAACCTTTGCTGTTAATTTTTACTGAAAAATGATATCAGACATTTTACAAATCTGTAAGTCAAGCTATAGGGTAATTTGTTTTCTCGAGAATATTTAACAGTTTTGAATTTTTTATTTTGGGTGGTTTATTTCACTTTGCTTCTTTTTTAATACCGAAAGGTAAAAGCCTCAAGGAAGGATAGATTAGCTATTTAGATTTTTTTTTTTTGTATTACACTTTTATAGCAGAATTTTTTTAGTTATTTATTATAGGTATAGTTGACTCCTTTAAGTTTCTCTCTATCTTTGAGTCTTTTTCATGTTCTCTAGCATTCCTCCATAAAGAAAACAATTTTAAACAAATCTGATAATTTTTATGCTCACTGGCCCAAATTACTAGTGGGGAAATTTGGCTACTGTTTATGTCCAATACTAGATTTCCGTGAATGAGTTAACTGTAGTCTCTACCATAAAAATTAGATGCTGATTATGCTAATAAACCATGTAGTTTTAGTTAATAGGCCTGCCTAATATAAGGTTTGTAGCTTTCTGAATATTTTAGCAAGTCTTTCTGTAAAGGTATTTTCAGATTTCATCACCAGTCTCCATTTTTCTCTTGGTAGCATTATTTCCTAAAAGAATTTGAAATATAGGTAATAAGTATTTACATAGCCATAGAGTTTTAATAGATTAGTATTATAACAAACAAAATTACTTAAAAACATTCCTGCCTTATCCATTATTTTAATATTAGTTTCTTTTGTATGTGCTGCATCTTATGTTTATCTTCATTATGAGTATTCTAGTATTTAAAAGATAATGTTGATTATTACAAATTTTCAGATGCTATGATTTGCTGTAAAATTTCTGAACTTAATTATTTCAGACAGCTCTTGGATTTTACATCTTTCTGTATATGGTCTTAATATTTTACAGCTCCAGAAGCATTTGTATACTTTAAATCCTGGAAGAACAAATATTTTCTTAAGAAGGAAACAAAGACTCACTTAAAAATAAAAAGAGACAGTGTTAATAGCAAATCTTATATATAGTTCCAGAAAACTTACAGCACAACAACCTTTAAGAATGGTTAGGTGTGAACACGTGGACCTAAAGGTCAGCAACTGTGTCCTGTCTTAGAATCATTGAAGTTCTTGAAGTCAGGGAAGTTCATGGTGATGTTGCCGCTACCTGGATAGTACAGTGTAACCCAGAGGCCTTTGAGAGACCTCAGTTGAGTCAGTGAGATGAGGGCTCAGAGGACGTCAGGCGCTGCTATTCCACATCACCCTGAGGCAGATGTGGTTAGCCATAGAATTGTTCATAATAAATGCAAACAAGGGAAATAAAATATTGTATAATTCCCAAAATACAGATAATAAGACATTAATGCCTAAAGGAAAATCTCTAGGAATAAAGAAGCCTAAGCTAATGTAAAACAAATGGTGAATAATGAGACACTAAGAAACTGCTAGTTAAAATGTGGTCTGAACATGTTACTTACGAGGTCTCATACCTGGCCTAGAACATCAGGGATTTGAGATTATACTGAATATGTGACACATTAGGCATTTTGAAAAGTCTAGCTTTCAAACTCTAATCCAAAATTGAGAATCTTATAGAAAGAATAACTCATCTATAGCCACTTTGCTTTTTCTGCATATTAAAACTTGACCAACATTGTAAGAGTTTTAAATCCATTGATGAAAGATGCTGATGGTAGCATAAATTGTTTTGAAATTTTAAATGTTTTTTTCAAGCTAATTGCTTATAAATTAAATTTGTCTTTTGTTGGGATTTATATGACTATATCCTGCTTTTTTTATATATATATACATGTATCTACACAATAGATTTTACATTTAGATATTGAAATGCCTAAGCTGGTACTTAGAAACTTCTTATGTCTTGTATTTCAGGTAACTATGCAATCTTTTTTTCCTATTAATTTGGAAGTGTGGTAGGCAAATACCTGAATTTGTATTAGAATCTCTATCCTGCTTCTTTTCTCCTCCTACCCATGAAAGAAAAATTCACCAGTAATACAGTGAGCTCATGTTTAATATTGTTATAGTAATAAAAGAGAAAGGGGAAACTGATATCAACAGCAACAGGCCACGAACAGATTGGAGTCTGAGGTTAGAATTGGACCTGTTAAGTCCTCTATATCTGCAGCTCTCAACTGGGAAGGGAGGATTTCGCCCCACAGGGGACATTCGGGAATATCTAGAGACAGTTTCGATCATCATGACTAGAAGATCTGGGAGGGATGGTACTGGTATATAGTGGGTAGAGGCCAGGGATGCTGCTAAACATCCTATAGTACATAGGACAGCCCCCACCGCAAAGATCTATCCAGCCCAACATGTCAATAGTGTCTTGGTTGAGAAACCCTGGTGTGTACAAAATAAATAGATACTCATAGGGCCAAGCCACTGAAATGTTATATATATCTTAGGTCATTGGTTTTCAGACTTTTCAGCTGTAGACTTCTTGACAAAAATAAAAGCTTACCCAGAAGTCTGTTGAACACAACAGGCCAAAAGAAAACTGTCCTGAATGAGGAGAAGGGAGCCCAGGCCTTAAATGCCACAAGAAGAATGTTGATTGAAAGTAGATTTCATCCTAAAAATAATTCAAGTGAAGAGAGGAGTAACTGGTGTAGTAACATGCCTTGGAACCAACATTGCACTAGGGTCATCTGGCCTAACATTTTGATGACGTGTGGGGGCTTTATGCATAAAACACTTTGCTTTTCATTAAATCTTTTCGTTAAACAAAGTCACTCCCCCTGAGGGTCTGGTTCTCACATCCATGTATTTAGCACTTCCTGACTGATAATTTTAAAATGTATTGCCTCTTAATTTTTATTCTCACTGACTGCCACAGTAGTATGTAGACAATGGAATATCGTATATATATATTTAGCCTTAAAAAGGGAGGAAATTCTGTCACAGGCTACAATATGGATGAGCCTTTAAGACATTATGCTTAGTGAAATAAGCCAGTTGCAAAAAGAGAAATACTGTATGATTCCATTTATATTAGGTTATCTAAAATAGTCAAATTTATAGCAACGGAAAGTAGAATAGTGGTTACCAAGGGCTGGCAGAAGGGGACAAGGCGGGTTGTTTAATGGGTACAGAGTTTCAAACTTTTGTGGTGAGAGTTCTGGAGATTGGTTGTACAACAGTGTAAATGTGCTTAACACTACTGTACTGTACACTTTAAAATGATTAAGATGGCAGATGTGGTTCCATAGTGTAGTGGTTAGCATGTCTGCTTTGTTTGTGTACGCAGAAGATCCTGGGTTTGCGCCCCAGTGGAGCCACGGTCCATGGTCTGTGGCCATGCCACCCTGAACAAGCCTGATGTCTGATCTCGGAAGCTGAGCAGGGTCGGGCCTGGTTAGTACTTGGGTGGGAGACCACCTAGGAAGACCAGGTGCTGTAGGCATAAATAATAATAATAAAATAATTTTAAAAATAAAAAGTAAAATAATTAAGACGGCAAATTTTATGTTATTTTTTTTTACCAACACCAAAAAATAAATTAGGTAGGTAGGTAGGTAGATAGATAGATAGATAAACTTTAAAAAAAAAAAAAAAAAGGATTGATGGTTTATACAAGATTATCTTGAAGGTCTTCTTAGCTTGGCCAATTTGGTTAGATTAGAAAAAAAACTTTGTATAAAAAGAGGACAGGCATGTGGTGATCTATAACATTAATCAATGTTGCTTGTGAAAAAAATTTTCTGTATACTTTGAATATACATTTAATGAAGAGAAAACAAGACTGATAATATATGTTAAGTGGTCAACTATCTATGCTTTAAAAAGTGGGTTGACCATTATTATTTTTTGTTCTTTTATCAAACAAAGGTAAACATTGTTATATACTGCAATATTATCAGTACTCTCCACGTATACCAGTGTATGATAAATAAACTATATGCTTTGTCTTCTTTTGTTATGCTCTTCAACTCCAGCATTTCTTATAATAGGTTGAATCTCTGATGATTAATCAGTGATATGAGAGTCATGTCACCACATTCCAGGAGTAGTAAGATGTGCTGGAGTGGAGTTTTAGTCATAGGTGGTTCTTTTCTTGTCATGTTGTAGTGTGTGGTGACT